AACGCAAGATTGTCATATAGGAAACACCCGTGAAAGCCTCAAGAATAATATTACAATATGTAATTATAATAATAATTATTATTATATAATAATAATAATATTTTATTATTATAATATTAAATATTATATTTTTTAATAATACTCAAATACCTTCGTCTTCATTGTCATTTTTGTTTTCGGCAACTTCTGTGATTGTGGAAGATTTTACATCGTTAATTTCCATGAATTCTTTTACTTCGTCTGCAAGATTATCGTTATCATCAAGATCCGATAATGTGCATGAAGCATCAAGTGTATCTTCCATATTCATGAAAGTAACTGATGTTAAATCATTTTTTATGTTATTATTCTTAGACAAAGCATATCCGGAATGCTTTCCGAGAATATACCACTTTAAACGATTCTGCACTTCCACTGGTGACGGGTGGTTATGAGCATCTCCCATTGCTCTTATATACGAGAAAAAATTCTCCAGAATGTCCTGATTCAGTCTTCTCGTAATGATGAAGCTGGTGATGAATGCTTCGGTCGAATACTTTTCCTTTACATACGATAGTAACTGGCTAAGGGAGTTGTTAGTCAGTAATATTCCCTTTTGAAACGGAAGTTGTGTCCTTCTATTCGGAGTTCGCAAATTAAATACATACTTATAAATTTGTCCATTTCTTCCAGAACCTTGTCTTGTTTCAGTAACTCTACTCCATATGCATGCAGGCCATCATGTTTGCCAAATTTCAACTGGGAATTTAATGTCAAACCAGTCATTAATAAGACTTACAACCGTCGACATTACGTGCCAATTTTCATTTGTTAGAAATCCCTGATTACCGCAGTATTCAACCGCTTTATCATTTCGATTAGAAAATATTTGAGCAGCTAATTTGACGGATTGTCGCTGGTTTCCTTTAACATCTAAATGTAGTCTGGTCAGATTTAAGACTATTTTTAACTCGTTCAAATTCAGCATAAGTAATTGTTCTAAAATTTCTTTGGTTATTAACTTGGCATCGACAACAAACCCAGAATCAAAGAAGTTATTTCTAAGTAGTTTTATTAAATGAGGAACGTCGGCAAACGCATAAACTTTTAAGATTTCATCACACAGGTGTACAAAAAAGCATCTTTTCTCTTCGATTCGTTCTGTCCTCACAGTATGAGTTTCATTATTCGAAAGATCTACACCACTATATTCATAGATTTCCACAAGCGTGAATTTGTAGGTCCCAAATCACTTGTGACTGCAACAACAATATAATCCTTTTCATAAAGGCGTGCGATCATTTCCAATAAAATGTCTTTTGTCATGGGTGCATCAAAATCATAAAATATGGGTTGTTTCCATTTACCAAAAAGACTTCGCGCCATTATGAATTGGCAGGTTTTATGCGACCCCCATATATTTTTTGTTGACGACGCTCTAAGTCGAATTTATTGGAAATGTATAATTCATCAAAAGATAATACAGTCAGCTTCTCTATGATAGTTAAATCTTGCCCTTTATCATGCATTATGTTCAAAACATCTTTCAATACACCTGGTTGGACATTGAAATTTGCACTCCAATTTTTTAAAGTTTGCACACAAGGCAAAGGAAAGTTTTTTACTATCCGCAAGTAATTATACTCTTTAGCGCTGAGTGAAGAGCAATCGCAGAGGAAATGTCTTCAGCCGACCAATTAATACGTTTGTTCTTTGAAGACATAAGCTTTTTGATCTGTCCTGGCGTAAAAACTGTACTCAACGTATCATATGCCATTTTTTCAGCTTCATTTTCCGTGTTCTTATTAAGTTGAAGAAACTTGATGTCTTTTTCAATTAACTCCTTTTTTAGATGCTGATTGTCTTCGGCGAGCTGCGCATTAATATTATGTAACTGTATACACTTGAGACTGAGTTTTTCATTTTCTTCTTCCAATATTTTTAGACATTCCAGAGTCCTTTCCGTTTCATTATTGAACCGAATATCCATTTGACCTCTGTAAAACATACATTAAATATAAAAATTAATATAACATAGTACACGAACGTGGGGCATTTAAAACCAAGCGTGAAAAAATAATATTTAATAAGCAATTTCGCAATTTCACATTTCATTCAAACAAACGATGGTTTTAAAATGTACATATAGAAGTTTAGATATTTCATTCCTGTTGTTAAAAACAATAAGTTTGTTGTAAAATGATATGTTATCATTACAATGTTGAAAAAATAACTTTCTAAAAAGAGTAATTTCGAACAACATTTAATAAATACTTTAGTAGTATTGTACAGTTTAGTTATTAATATAATATCATTTAGATCAATTACTTTATGTTACGCATAATTTATATTTGTAAATATGTATTTAGACATACTGCTATATGTAACAAATTATAAATACATACGATTGTATTGTTTCGGCACATTCTAATGACACGTCGAGTTTACTTTCCATTATCTCTTCTTGCATTTCACTTTGTACTGTCATTGTACTGTTATTGTAATATAATGTTATTGATATAAATAACACTATTACGTAAAATAAATCTTACTAATATGAATTACGAGGTATATTTTTAGTCCTTGATGTTGTTACATAACACAACTCAGAATTGTTTCAACATAAATTTGTTACTTATCCTCTATTAATTCTTTGTTTCCTTTCTGTTTCGATATTCAGATATTCTGTTGGTACTGCATCTTTCTTCAACCGTCGAATCACTCGTGATTGATTTTTCAAACGTTGTTCTGTCCATTTTTCCTCTATGCAGTCAGCTAGAAAATGTCGTTCACATACTACACCTGAAAATAACGTTTCTTATTAAAGTTTAATATAATCTATATCTCTATGTCTCTATATCTATAGGTTTTATAATTCAGTTTATAAATTTGCATTAATCACTACATCATTGCAACAGTTAGTGACAAACAAAATATGAATCATAAACTCACTGTATGTTTGTTTCAGCTCTTCTTCTTTGCGTTTGCAGGCCTCAAGCCACTTCTTTCTCAAGTTAGGCTCTTTAGGAAAATAGTAAACTTTACTACTTTCTTCAGCACGGCCAGTCCGCGTTTTACAATTTCGTATGCAACACACTGGCATATTACGGTCCAAATTGTCTAAATATAATTTTAAAAAATCCAATTAAAGTCAAAATCGATTTGTTTTGATCAAACAACACAAGGCACCAAAGGCACTCAGCTGACTAAGCGACCATATTGAATTCCTGCAAAATAGTCACAACTTGATTGACTGATGGTCCCCACTACTTTTAACCCACTGCGCATCCATTGGAATGGTTCACCTTACTTATTAGTAGGGATGGGCGACGCTTCATCGATTATACAAAAATCGATGTTTTCCGCTCAATAATCGATGCTCGATTCGATGTTTCAGAATTCGATTAATCGGCACATTGATCTTTTTTTTATGACATCGATTATGATTGGCTCTCATTGATCTACCCAAAGATATAACTACCCTAGAGTCCTAGATTTATTAGAGACTAGAGAGGCAGTCCCTAGCAGGCATTTAATTAATTTATGAAACAATTTTTTCGTTACTAGTAAATATTTTTGGTAACCAAGAAATTGCCTTCTGAAAAATTATATTTTATAAAAAGTAATCAATGTACGATTTCTAATACTCATGTCATAAATTTAAGAAAAATGTTTTCTTATTAACAACAATCAGATTCAAGTAATGACATTTATTAGATTTAATGAAACAATTTTCTACCAACAGGTAATTGTGTTTTTATTAGAATAAAATATTTTCTTCACTGATAAATTGTTTGCTTCAGGATAATATTTTATTGGAACAAAAAACAAATTTATTGTGGCAAGTAATTAACTCTTTCAATCAATTAAATTACAGTTCAAGAAAATGTGTTTACTTGAAACAAGTAAATTTTTTTTCTGTGGAGGTACATAAAATTGTATTCTATTTTTTCTTTAATTTTGTTATAAAAATAATTTAAAAAATTGTTTTTCATAGGTACATAAAATTGTACTCTTATTTTTTCTTTTATTTTGTGCTAAAAATAATTTAAAAAATTATAATTCAATATATTTCTAAAAATTAATAATAAAAAAATAATAAAATTTAGTAAAATCAGTTTTTTTTCAATCATCGATTTTACCAACATCGATGTTTTCTTTTGCGATGAATCGGCTAATTAAAAATCGGATTGGATTGTAATCGATTATTATAGAATCGATGCTTTTCTTGTACATCGCCCATCCCTACAGTTATTACACCATAACTGAGGCCACGTTGCTGCTACAGTGCGTCGCCATATTAGACGCCGTAGCGTCACTTTACCGCGCTACCGCGTGGCGCATCTACGGAGACCTCATCATCTCAACCACGCCGCTCGGTCGCCACGTGCCGTGAGCATCCGCGTCGTGAGAGTGCCGCCACGTTATCGCCGCGTCAATTAATTGAGTGCACGTTACCGACTGCATCACAGCGCGAGTGCATCCACATAAGCCCGAAAACCGGAGTATCCCGTGCGCGTGGGATTGTCGTACGTGATGAAGCCTATAGTGTTTAGTTCGCTGGCGCTATTTGTGTCACCGCTCGCATACGATTGAATCGCGAAAGTAGGGAAATTGTATGCGATACGTGTTTTGATTCGGAACCCACTGACGCGCAAACCGCCTATTACCACGCCGTGCGACATAGTCTTCAGGGGCTCTATTCTTAAAAAGAAACGTATACGAAAGTCTAGGGAAATACTATAGTATACGTAACATATACTGCATTTCCCTAGACTTTCGTATACGTTACTTTTCAAGAATAGGGTCCCAGCTCAGTTTGCCGCGCCGGTACGACAGGTGCAGTAAATGTGCTCTTGATCGCGCAACCAGTGATTAGTTGCGATATTTGCCTTGAGGTTCGCGCGCGATTTATTATTTACCTCACCGGGACAGGTGAACGACCGTGGAACGAGTCGGGATTCACGATCGTGATGATATCACAACGTTCCGCAAACGCCCAATAAGCGACGCCTCCTAAGGACCTTTGGGGTCTTTCCTACTTGTCCAACGTACAAAACGCGCTAGCCAGCGAGGTTGGTCACCAATCCGCTAGAAATATTTAGTTGCGGCATAACGGTCGTAACAATATATAGAAGTATATACATACATACATACATACATACATACTGTGACGTGACGTGTTCCGTCCGTCACAAGGGTCGTAAGACCCGACCGAACAGCGCCGCTGGCGTCCTGGGTCCTTCCACTTTTAAAGGGCCGACGTACAGGCGTGCGCTTTTTGTTGTTTTGGTATCGTTACGTCTCGCGGATTTTCCGCGTCGAATTTCTTTTTCCCGTTTTTCCGTATGCTGTCGTGCTGCGAGTTCTACAGGAAAGTTGGCGACCCCTTTGCGACCTTGTGTATCACGGGGTGATCCCGATTGACCACTTCTCGATTGGACACCACCATTCACAGCGACCGGTGCTTAGGAGCTTTGTAGTCTCAAGCGCTGTGAGTGGCTCGTGTCCAATTGAGCCGTGTCCAACTGAGTGCCACCCGTGTATCACGAGCCGTCTCACCACACCAGAGGAGGAAGAGAAGCAGCCCACAGAGATTCTGATGCAGTATAGAGGAGGAAAGATTGGCCGGGGCGTACAGCATCTTACCGAGAGGGTGGCACGCAGGTGATATCGCTCCACGCTTTAATCATTGTCGCTTTATTCTGAAATTCTGTCACTCATTGTATCAAATTGCAGGCGCATCTGAGACAAGGACCACGAGGGTAACAGCTGGGGATGGCCACGGGTGGCACCCAGTTTGACACAGCTCAATTGAACACGAGCCACTCACAGCGCTTGAGACTACAAAGCTCCTAAGCACCGGTTGCTGTGATTGGTGGTGTCCAATCGAGCCGTGATCAATCGGGATCACCCCGATGGCCACTCTACGCCCAAAAGTCAGCGAGAGACCCTCACAACGGAGTTTGCGGAGACCTCCCCTGCGGGACTGAAAGCACGGTCGGGTACGGAGGCACCGACCACGGGGACGCCGCCGTCGAGATACGAGTCTTCTGCATGCGGATACTCAGGGAGAGTTTCCGAAGCGGCCGAAAAAACCCTGCGGCCCCCAATTAAATTCCGCGCCAGAGCGCAGGATACGCTGGCGACACAGATCACGCTATTTGCGGAACCGCGGAGCCACGCGCCAAATAGCAATTACTGCATGCCCCTGAAAGGATCAACGCCCGGCACTTGTGCTGTGGATACCGAGTAGAGATTGTCTGGAAGGATGCAAGGCGACCAGAAAAACCTATCGCATTCAGAGCAGCCAGAAGGACTATCGGTGAGACGGACATCAGCTAAACTATAAGGTCGCCAATTTCCTGTTAGGAAGGCGCGTTATTATCGGTATCGTCTGTCAGTTGCACGGCGCACGCGAGATTGCGACTGCGTCAGTTTTTGAGTTTTCTCGCATTAATGACGTATGAGCGCGCCGCCTCCCCTGATTACGCGATATGATAATTCCGTTAGAGTCGTTTTCGCGTCCACCTAAGCCACAGCCTAGTCATTATCGTTGAATGTTATCGGGCAATTGTTGTATTGTATATCGGTGTCGGAACGTTGTCCGCGTATTTGTGATCTCTTTCTAACGCTCTGCGCGGCGAATCGAAATCTTCGTGAGCAAGCACGAGGTTACACCGTGTTTGATGTTACGCCGTAACCGTTATCTATCGCAGTTATCAAAGGGTCGAACTTTTGTTCGCGAGATCTTGCTCGAATTATCCGAGAGAGGCATGAGCTCGTGCCGCTAATCATTAATGTCATTGTTCTACGTTGTCAGAAGCGTACCGAAAAAAGTACGCCTTGAAAATACCGTTTCTATCGCCTGCTATTGTCACCAACGTGTTGAGCTAGAGATGTGTAGAATACATTGTTACTTTATTTCTATTAAGCACTGTGTTATTTTTTATGACCGCCCCGTTCACTCCTCCAACGATCCTCTATACTCAATCACGAACCGCCTCTACCATTTTCGAGATTGAGCTGCCGGTTCAGAGGGCCGTCGACGTTCGCAGTTTAATGTAAAACCGCGTGAAAAATAATCCGAGTAATTTTGAGTAAGAGTGGCACGCTCGCTTGTACCTGGCGCCCAATTATCGTTCTCGAGATCATGTATCGAGGCAAACGGACGAGGAAGAAATTTCGATTTCTTCTAAGGCTTTTCTCTCGCGGCATCCCTTCCGCACGAAACGGCGTTTTGGGATGTTCGGAGCCAATTTTCTCCGATCAGTCTCCGCTATTCAATAGGACTGCTTCAGCCTTGGGAAACGACGGCGTAGATTCCTCTCACTCGCACGTGTATCCTCGCGAAACTTTGTTTCGCCACTCTCTCGAACAAATTTCCACAATACGCCACTGTTACTCTCTCTAGTTCTCCGTGTCTCGTGGAACAACGGGGGTGGCACCCAGTTGGACACGGCTCAATTGGACACGAGCCACTCACAGCGCTTGAGACTACAAAGCTCCTAAGCACCGGTCGCTGTGAATGGTGGTGTCCAATCGAGCCGTGGTCAATCGGGATCACCCCGAACGACGGTGGGTTATTTCCCGACTGCGCCCACTGCAAAACCGTGTTTCGCCATTAATTCGCGCGATATTTTGGGATTCTCCTCCGTCGTTCCTCTTAACGCCCTTAGCCAAGAGTGGTTACGGTTTCCGATCATCGGCCGGATCCCGCATTTGCCCGCACCATTATAATACTGATGGTCGAAGTTGGCGTATTAATGATTATCTATTTCCGTGATACTGCGCTCGCTGGCTATGCTACGAATTTTCTTTTAGTACTCTGTTTCGTTTTCTTTGTTTTTCTTTAACCTAATTACAATATATACAGGGTGTGCCATTTTAAATGATCCAGCCAAATATCTCGAAAACTAAACCTAGTAGACAAAAATGTTTCAGACAAAAGTTGTTTGACTCGAAGGGGGACATAAAATGGTGCTATCGATTTGACCTTGGATAGACCTCTGAAGGTCACCTGAAGGTCACCTTTAATTTTTTTAATGGAAACCCCTTATTTCTCATTGCACATTCTTACAGCTCATCTCGAGAGCTTTCCAAAACACTACAATTAAGTTACTTTTCGTTAAGTACTAGTTAAGTTATA